AAAAAAAAAAAAAAGATATGGTAAAAAAATATCAGACCATTTACTAAATATTCGGGCAAATAATTAGTGTAAATAAATATCAAATTTATTACCAAAATCCGATCGTGTAAACGATTTTGTTACCAAAAATTGGATTCTATTGTACAGATTCTTATTAAAATAAAAAAAATGCTAAAAAATATCAGACCATATGCCCAAATTTTCGAACCGATATTTTGTGTAAATAAATATGAATTTTGTTAAAAAAACCCAATTGGCTAAAAGATTTTTTAACAAAATCTGATCATATTTGTTAACACAATTTGATCTCGTTGAGAGCTTTTGATTCTCTCGTTGAGAGCTTCTTAGTTTACGATCACTTCCTTTTCTTTACCAATTTGTCTTATATCTAACTAGTTCCATATTGAATTTTTCGTCTGATAGATCCCGATTCATAAACGCTTTTGGAAGGGTTTTTTGTGACTCCAGATTCTCCCTTTTTAGGGTTTCAGGATGGCGGGGCAAACTAGATTTAGCCCAGATGATGACATATCCGCACGACTGGGAAATTTTTCGCTTTCAGAGAGGGAGGTAAATGTTATTGATATAGCTCAAGATGATATTAGACTGAGTGACGACGAATGCCAAAGGAGTTTATTCGGGAAAATAATTGGAGACAGGATAGTCGGTTGGTTTGGAGTCAAAAGGGCGACGACACAAATTTGGAGACTCAATAAACCAATGGAGGTGAAAGAACTCAGTCCAAATTATTTCCAGTTCATTTTTCAAAGTAAAGAGGACAAAGAAAGAGTTGCAAGCGGATCAAATTGGAGTTTTGAGAATCAGTATATAATTCTGAGGGAATGGACCACCAATCTGAATAGCAATCATCAGTGCTTCCAGGAAATCAACCTTTGGGCTCAAGTCACAAATCTCCCTCTGAACTGGATGAGTGCTGAAGTTGGACTGAAAATTGGTCGGACTTTCAAAGACGTAAGCAATGTGGTTATAGTTAATACAGGCAGTCATGGAGGCAAATTACTGCGTCTTCTTGTCACACTTAACCTGGATGAACCCATTCCTCGACTAGCTCATATCAGGTTGGGCGACCAAATTGTCAGTGTTGGGTTTAAATATGAGAAGCTGATGAATCTCTGCCATTATTGCGAGAAGATTGGTCACTTAGACCACAACTATCAAAGAAGAATGCAAGACATCAAGAATAAAACACTAAAGGATGGCCAATACGGTGAGTGGTTAAAGGCATCAGATGGTATGAGATGGACATGAGCAAACTCAGGTCATAGAAATTCCCCTCCAACCTCCCCATCAAACTCAGAACCAGGACATTCACACAAAGCATCTACTAGTCAACCTGAAATTGGCAACCAATTAATTCCTTTACAAAATGAGCCTCAGAAGCAGATGATGGAAACCACAGATAACCAGGATAATGAGCTCTCCCCATATCAATTGAACCCAGCCACCTCTCTCTCATCCTCCTCAAAAGCTACAATCCCAGAACTTGTGGCTGCTGCAAATTTCAATAGTGCTAACCAAGAGGCGGGAAAGCAAATGGAATTGTATAACCCAGTGAAAGAAGATCAACTCACAACCCAGAAAGGCAAGATGCTCACCATAACCGGGCCATCCAAAACCTGGAAAAGAATTGGGGTCAGGTCAGGAAGACTTCAAAGGGAGCCAGTCATACATACACCTATTGTTATTGACAACATTTCTGGTACTAAGAGGGTATCAACAGATAGTGAGCTACCAGCATCCTCTAAAGAGCCAAAGCTGCTGAAACAAGGTGAATCTTCAAACCAAGTCACAAATTCTGAAAAGGTGGGGGCTGCCAGCCTTGAGTGGCACCCAAGTGGCCAATGTTAGCCATGGTGTGGAATTGTAGAGGGCTGGGTGGGCCCTCTACAATTTCCCAAATCAGAGAGTTGATGAAAACTCATCACCCCAATTTTCTTTTTCTTTCTGAAACAAAAAAATCAAAAGCTTTTGTCTGTACAGTTAGTAAAAAATTAGGTTTTGAGGATAGATTTACCACTATAGACCCCTCTGGCCTGAGTGGTGGGTTAGCTTTATTTTGAAAAGGTCATGTTGTAATTCAGCAGGTGCTTTTGAAAGATTTCTACATTGCAGTTCAATTTTCTCTTCCTCCAGCACCTTCTCAATGGGGAATCTTTGTTTATATCAGTCCGATTAGAGCTACAAGAGCAAATCAATGGGGTACTTTGATGGTGGATAAAGACTCTTGGGGTAACAATTGGTTTGCAATAGGGGATTGGAATGACATCCTCTCCCACTCTGACAAACTTGGGGGAATTACCAGAAATCAAAGCTCTCTCTCAGGATTTGGTAACTTTGTGAATGGTATGGCCATGGAGGAGATAAGAATGGAAGGACCTAAATTCACTTGGTGCAACAACAGAGCTGCTCCTGATTTGGTGGAAGAAAAACTAGACCGAGCTTTTGCTTCTCTGGAGTGGAATCAGAATCATCCAAATGCCAATATTCAGAACAAATTAAGGAGTGCATCTGATCACTCTGCTCTCTTGTTAGATCAGGGCCTGCCTAGAGAAAAGAGGAAAACCATGTTCCACTTTGACAAAAGGTGGTTAAGCATGGAAGGTTGTGAAGCTGTGGTCAAGAAAACATGGTTAACTGAGGTGCAAGGAACTCCTTTTTATCAATTGAAGGAGAAAATTAAACTTACAAGGATAGCACTTCTGAGATGGAGCTCGGGTTTCCATTCTCAAAGACAGGAGGACATTGCGGCACTCACTCTGAAGCTTGAAAGCCTGAATGTGGATAAATCAAGCATTGACTGGGAAGAATGGGAGTCTACTAGAAGGAACCTAAACTCAGCCCACAAGCAAGAAGAGCTCTTTTGGCAACAGAAAGCTAAATCCAAATGGCTTAAAGATGGAGATGCCAATACCAGATTTTTTCATGCACTAACACTGCAAAGAAGGAAGAATAATGCTATTACAAGACTAATATCTACTCAAGGCAACATTTACACAACTCAGAAGGAGATTGAGAGGCACATTGCAGATTTCTACCACAATCTCTTCACCTCTGAAGGTTGCTTGGGAGGTGACACCTTACTTCCTCTTATTCCTACCTCAATAACTGATGACATGAATCAAGCACTACTTAAACCTGTGGAAGAAGAAGAAGTCCGTTCCTCTCTGTTCAGTTTCCACCCTAACAAGTCACCTGGGGAAGATGGAATGACTGCAGCATTTTATCAACACTTTTGGAGCATAATCAAAGAAGACCTCATTGCAGCTGTTCTAAGCTTCTTTAAGACAGGTATGATGCTCAAATACTGGAACCACTCGGTGATATCATTAATCCCCAAGCTTCAGAATCCTGAAAATATGGGTCACTTCAGACCCATTAGTCTTTGCAGTGTGGTTTACAAACTAATCTCTAAAATTCTAGCTCAAAGGGTTAAAGTTTGTTTATCTCAATGCATAAGTGATTTTCAAGCTGCATTTATTGAGGGCAGACAGTTGGTTGATAATGTAATAATTGCTCAGGAAGCTTTCCATTTCTTAAATAGACATGTTTCTGGTCCAAACTTTTTCATGGCTATTAAATTGGACCTTATTAAGGCTTTTGATCGTGTTGAGTGGAGCTGTCTAAGTAAAATCATGATACAAATGGGTTTCCACATGGACTTTGTCAAGTTAATCGTGATGTGTATTTCATCTGCCACCTTCTCTTTTAAAATTAATGGCTCTCTCAGTGGGTATGTGACTCCAACTAGAGGTATCAGGCAAGGGGATCCTCTCTCCCCTTACCTATTTATTATAGTGGCTGAGTTGCTTTCTGCTTTAGTGTTGCACTCTATAAGAAGTGGTCAATTGAAGGGGATGAAAGTTTCAAGAAATGGCCCATTACTCTCTCATCTTTTGTTTGCAGACGATTCTTTGATTTTCTGCAAGGCTGGAACTGATCAGGTTGTTATTCTTTTGAATTTGTTAGAGAAATATAAACTTTTTACTGGCCAAGCTGTGAATTTACAAAAATCAGCCATTTTTTTCAGCAAATACACCCCAGCATTTACAGACTTCTATTTGCTCAGTTTTGAATGGGATTGCCTGCCACAGATCTACAAGGTATTTGGGCTTGCCTTTGGGAATAGGTAGATCTAATTTTTTGCTTATCTTATTGAGTCTGTTAAGAGTAAACTCCTTAGTTGGAAATCAAAATTTCTCAGTACTGCTGGCAAGGAGGTATTACTAAAGTCTGTCATCCAAGCACTCCCAACTTTTACAATGTCTTGTTTTAAGCTGCCCACTACTCTCTGCTCTGAAATAACAAAACTTTGTGCTCAGTTCTGGTGGAGAACAGGTACTGATCAGTCTCAGGGTATTCATTGGAAGAAATGGAGTTGTTTGTCCTTACCTAAGCAGCAAGGTGGTCTTGGCTTTCAGGATTTGCAATTGTTCAACAAGGCTTTAATTTGCAAACAACTGCGGAGAGTGGCTTCAAAACCAGACCTTCTGGTAAGTAGACTCCTCAAGGACAGGTACTTTCATCATTCCTCTATTGTCCATGCCAAAAAGGTTCAAGGGGGCTCTTGGATGTGGAACAGTTGGATGGATGTCCTTCCAATTTTTGCAAAGTGTATGAGGATTGAAGTGAGAAACGATTTATCTACCAGAATTGCTGATTTTAACTGGGTACCTAATTTAGCAAAACCAACACCCACACTTATTCCTATTGCTAGAGATAACCTAATTTGGGTAAAGGATCTAATGCATGATGATAGTAACATATGGAATGAGTGGCTTATTAGGCAGGTCTTTGATGTTGAGGATTGTAAAGCTATTTTGGGTATTTCTTCTCTTCATGTTGATAGAAGTGACAGGATGTACTGGGGGCTGGAAAAGAAGGGGAACTTCTCTGTGTCTAGCACTTATAAATATCTGTCCAATCTTAAACTCTTACAAGTAGATCTACCAGAAAGCAGTAATGCATCTGCTGTTAAGAAGAAAGTGAAATTCAGATTCTGGAAGCTGAAAGTGGCAGGCAAACTGAAGTTTTTTCTGTGGAAGTGTTTGTCTCAAACTCTACCAACTGCTCTTAAACTAATTCATAGAGGAGTGAAGATTGATGTTGTTTGTTCTGTTTGTGGACAGATGCAGGAAACTACTGAACACATTCTGTTTACCTGCCCAAGAGCATTGAGGTGCTGGGAGCTTAGTCCTGTGCAATGGGATGGACTCAGATAGGACAGACTCCTTTTCAGATTGGTGGTATCATGTTTGCTCTCTGGACAACTCTGAAGTGGCTGAAGCTCGTATTCAACTAACCACCTATATGCTTTGGTGGCTTTGGAAGTCCAGGAACATCTGGATTTTTCAAAGGAATTGGCTACCAGTACATGTGATTGTGAAGCTGGCTCATTCTGACTGGGTTGAATTCTCTTCGGCTGCTGTTTTGTTTGTTTAGTTTTTTCTTTTTTATTTTGTTCACTTTAGCTGTCTGGACTTATTCTCTTTGTATTTTGTTTTGCTTTTTTTGGTTTCAGGTCTGATTTGGGGAAATTTTCTCCTGGCTAGGCTATTTTTTTAGCAGTGGTTGGGTTTGTTTCCTTAGATCTTGGTTTAGTTTGTAGTCTTTTGAGTTTTGGTTTGGCTCTTTAGTCGAGGCTTTAGACCACCTTTGGTGCGTCTCTCAGTTTGTATTTTCTGTGTTTGTTGGTCTTGTATTCGAACGGTGTTCGCCTGTGTTCTTTTTCTTAATATAGTTACCTCTGTCGTTTTGGGAAAAAAAAAAGATCATATCCGAATCTCTTTTCGGCTAAAAAGATTTACCAATAAAAATCCCATAAAATCCGATCATATTGTNAAGATATGCTCAAAAAATATAAGATCATTTACTAAATATTCGGACAAATAATTAGTGAAAATAAATATCAAATTTTTTACCAAAATTCAATCGTGTAAAAGTTTTGTTACCAAAATTTGATCATGTTTGTTAACAAATTTTGATCATATTTGAACCCCTAATCGGATAAAAGATTTTTAAAAAAATTGTAAATCATTTTGACATGTAGGTTTGTAAGTATACTTATATTAGTATGTCAAATGATTATTTTTAAGTCAAAGTTACTATTTTTTTTATTTTTTCAACAACTCTTTCTGTTACTATAGATTAGTCATATTATATATGATGTGAGTTATAAAATGTATACTTTCTTAATGCATATTTATGCTATGAAATGTCATATTTTTTTTATATTATTTTTTTTAAATTAATATATATTCACAAATATAAACTAAAGATAAAATTTAAATAACTATTATATATAAAATAAATTAAGAATTTATTAGATATATGCAATGATGTGTAAGTGTACAATCTTTAAAATAGAATTTAAATAAATATTATATTATTACAGACTTGATATGTTATGTAAAATGAAATTGATATTATTAGAATATTCACTTGTGAGTTGTCACACATCGTATAGGAAAAATAGACCTAATTTATAAGTCTAATGGACTACTCTTCCTTCCAGCAATTAATTTTGGGATGGAACCCCACTTAGGTTTCATCTAAATTTTTCCTGTTATAAAATATTTTTAATAAGACCCACCATTTTGTCCCCATTTCTTACATATATATTATCTTAAATATATATATGATAATAAAATATTTTTTATACTGACCGTGAATCGCACCGGTTGCAACACTAGTTGCTTCTAAAGGCTTAAAATCGATTTTAATATATTGCCAATTTTGCAACATCGATTTTTTTTTCCATATTTCTTATTTCATCGTTTTAATGATTCTCTGAATTGGTCCTAAAAATTCCACACGAGAACCCATCCCCGAGTATCAGATCCATCATTCCCTACCTTTCCCCTTCCAAAGCATAATCAGTAAACAATTAAACGTCCTCCAGAATACATATTCCACCGTTGCTGAGTTTTCTGCTTTTCTTATTAATCGGTAAGTTTTGTTGCAAGCCTGTTGTTATCGCCTTATTGGCAATTTTGCGGGCTTAAAAGAGTCAGAAAGCGGGGTAGAAGATGGTGAAGATAACGGCATTGATGGTACTAAAATGCTCTCCCGATGGTTCGGATCCGACTATACTGTCGAACGCATCAGATCTAAGCGGTTTCGGGTTTTTCCAACGGCCCAGCGTTAAGGAGTTCATCGTTTTCGTGGGTCGGACGGTAGCTAAACGGACACCTCCCGGCCAGAGGCAGTCGGTGCAGCATGAAGGTCCGGTTGGGTTTCATATTTTGATGCTCTAATTCCAAGTTACTTCTTTTCCAAACCTGTCTGTATCACATGATTGGTGATCATGCGGGATTAGTTGATTTTTTATGGGTGTTGTGACTTCTCTTGATTTATGTGGTAGGGTTTTTAGTGTTGGGGATTTCGTTATTGGTGTTTTAGAATTTAATGGGGGAAACATTCGTATTCCATCTCTTTTCTGCTTCTTTCATGATTTGATAATTCTGTTATTATGTCCAGTGCTGACCCTTTTTATTAAAATGGTGTTGCTTCTTAACGTCACTGTTTCTTATTTGAATTACGCCAAAGGAAATGCCTGTTGATTTACTGGGTCTGTTTCAAGATTAATTGTGAGTGATTTCTTTTCTTTACGCAATGATACGAGTTTCCCAATAAAATTGTTCATTTTGTACACATTCCTCATTTTGCCTTGTAAGACATGATTTAATTTCAACACATAACCTGACCGCAAGCCTGACCTTTGTTTCTAAGTAAAGGTAAACACAGGAATAGGAGTAACTACCACTCCTGACCCCAACTTCTACATAGAACAATATATTGCTAATGTATGATGTCAGAAAATTCAAAATTGTGTATCATCAATATGATTACTACTGTTTTATTTGAGGCATTTGAATGTATGTGTTGTATATCTTTGTAATATAGAGTATGTAAACATGTTAGATACATTTACATATAGTCTCATGATGTGGTGATTGATGGATCTCTATTTTTTTGCGAAAGAAATTCATTTTAAGAGATGATTTTTCGTAGATTAAAGTTATATCATTCTTTCATAATAGATGGTGATGATTTTGTTTTTGAAATGAAAAGATATTTTCAGATTCTAGTTTGGATTTTGGAATTGTACATTGGATGATGAGATGATCCCCAAACTTATAACCGCCATTAAGCTTTATTGCCCATTGCCGCTATTAAGCTAACTTGCTGACTGCTCTCAAAATAAGATTTTTTTTTTTTCTTTTTTCGGGGTTGTGGATGTTTATTGACCGAATTGATATCAAATAAATTGAGACAGATACTTTTATGTGGCAATATCGAAGGCAGTAAGTTATTTCATAGAGTTATTTTTTCCTTTTTTTTTTGTTTGTTGAAGGGAGGATAAGGTCTATCCTGCTAGCTGAACACTGGTGGTTTTAGTTATAGGTTTATCCAGTCATGTAAGATGGACTAGTTCACATTGTTATGCCTTAGCAAATTTTAAAATATGTGGAATTGCCATAACATGACTCTTCCTTTTAGCATAATACTTCTGTAGGTTAACTGATTAGATTGGATTGAACATTTCTGTTGTTATTTTGATAGTTATTGTTATTATTATTTACTTAAAGAGATGAGTAACTGTGTGGTGACTGATGTGAACTATATCTGTGGGCGAATTAATTCAATGTCAAATTTCAAATTGTATCCAATTTCTCTGCTAGCCCAAAAACGACCTTTTGTTTTGTTTCTTTGTAAATCAGAATACAAGGTTCATTCGTACAACCGGAATGGATTGTGCGCTTTGGGTTTTATGGATGACCACTATCCTGTCCGAAGTGCATTTTCTTTGCTCAACCAGGTACGCATGGTTCTAATTGAGCATGCTATAGAGAGAATATCAAGATTTGTGAAGTCTTGTTCTACTGATTTGTTAAGTTATAGCAAATTTGATGTTTGGCAGGTCCTAGATGAATATCAAAAGAGCTTTGGCGATTCTTGGAAAACTGTGCAAACAGATAATGCTCAACAATGGCCTTATCTAGCAGAGGCGCTGACCAAGTTTCAGGTATTTAAATCTTTTCGCATTTTGTAATGATATGATATAAGTGGATAACGGCTTTTCGCTAGGCACATACTTTTCCCTTGCTATATATCTCTTAGTTCTGTAATTTCTTGCCTTCAAACTGTTTAGGATCCTGCTGAAGCCGACAAGCTGTTGAGAATTCAGCGCGAATTGGATGAAACTAAAATTATTCTTGTAAGTACTGCAATCCAACTTTGCACGAACCTTTGCCCCACATGGAATTGTTTCCCATCGTATGGCCATTGTTACTTTGATTCTAGCTGATACTTATTAGGTGGTGTTAGCATTTATCGTATTAAGATCTCTGTTGAATTTTAAAAAAATGTAAGATATTTTTATATGGTCAAGTTTAAAACAAAATAAAAGATAAAGCCAAGAAAGAGTTTGAGAGTCGAGTGCTATTCTTAAACCTGTTATATTTGCTTGTTTGCTGATATACCTTAAATTAGATCTCTCTAAATCTTTTATATCTTATTTAGATATTTTCTGTATATTTATTTTCTACCCGCTTCCTCTTATGATACTTATCAGTATTATCATTTTTATGAGCCAGGCAATTAGTTCTGAATAAGTGAAATACATCTAAAACTACATTTAATAAGAAAAAAAAGAACAGAAAAAAAGAAATACATTCCGGAACTAGATCTATTTCTAAACGAAGGGAGTGTATTGTTTCTTGAGTGGTTGAAATTTAAATTTAGGACAAGCGGTGATCATGTTGGCCCCGTTATTATAGTAATTAACAAATTAAGGTCTGTTTTCAGTTTTGATCATCTAGGCATGATCCTGGTTCTATTGCTAGGCATCATCTGACTGAATTAGCGCAAGTTTCCAAAGTACTCTTGAATTGCGTGTACAAATTTATTTGAATGGTTCTGGTGAACCGCGAAAAACTGAGCTAGGGTGTGTTCATGCTTCTTGTTAAGTTTGTAGGATTGTTTGTATTTGTTAACGAACATGATCACGAGCGCATAGTTTGTCTGTTTTAGCACATTTCAAATATTTTATGGAAAAATAATATTTATTGATGAGATATATGATGAGATATAATTCATATTAAGAGAAATCCGAATATGCATAAAGATAGTTACCCTGAAATGAACTCTTTTTTTCTACAATGATTGATGAATGATGAATAGTTTAAGCATCTTGTCAATTAAAGAAATAACTTTTACTTGTAAGTTTATGTTCATTCAGGTTAACTAATATATAGAACAGTTTTTATGCTCCAATACTTGCTACTCACTTAATGTGGTGTCCCCAGCCACTGTCCTTTTGTGTTGGTGTATCTTTTAGGTTTCCCATGTTACGTCTAGTTGTGCTGTAACCTAATGGCCACCCTTTGTCCTAACCATTTGAAAGAAAGACGAGGATCTATTCAAGAGCCCATTGGTCCCTTACCTCTTTAATAATAAATAAAGATGAATTGGGACCACTTGTAGATTAAATAATCAAATTATAGGTGAGAATCCAGGAAGAGTGTATGTAAAGTAGATTCTGTTCTACATCAAAAGCTTAATTTCTGGAAGAAAACAAGAATGAAAATGGCGGAATTCAACTGAGCTAAAGGATTTCATGGAAACAATAACTAGGAGACTTTATGAATTATGTAATGTTTTCCAAGTTATGTTTAGCTGGAACTGGCGCTTGAGTTGTAATGAAACAGCCTAACAACTTTTGAGTTGAGGGTCAGTGCTCAATAGCTAACTTAACTTACTCCTACACTTAGAATTCTTTCCCCTTTTCCTTTTGAATTTTCAACGAAAACCTGTTTGAGATTTTTGGAGCAGATTAATCTTTGGATTTATCTTTGCGTTGAGAGAATTTCCTAATTGTACAATCCCCCATGTTATGTGCTATATATAGTGAGGATTTACACGGGCATACTACCAGAATATAATGGTTAGAACATTTGCAAGTGTGGTTGAATTGGATATAAATATAGCATATATTATTCATTACTAAATTTCTTTTTTTTTTTTAGAAATCATATTATACAGTGCAGAACAACGTTGATATCTGTCACTATTGAGTTGCTCTCTGATAGTTTATCAGCAATTCCTAAGAAAAACACATCAGTTTCTAGATATCGGACTGCTTAGCATTGTTTAAGTTTGGATATTTATAAGCAGCTGTAAAGGGGCCGTGTGATGCATCCAATTGATGTCGTAATTTTTCTCTTCATCTTATATCGTCATTTGTTTGTGAACTTGTATAATGATTTAATTGTGTGTTGTTGTTTGCCTCAGCACAAAACTATAGACAGTGTCTTAGCACGAGGTGAGAAGTTGGACAGTTTGGTTGAGAAGAGTTCAGATCTCAGTGCAGCTTCTCAGGTTTGTCTATTTATTAAAATTTTATGGTTGTATCTTAAATTGATGTGAGAAAATGCCAGATGTTTTCTTAGTTCTTAAAATTTACATGAAGGATGAGTCCTAAATTTCCTTGTTAATATGTTTAAGGCACAAAATTATTTATGATTGCCTTCTTGTTCCTTGTTAATTTGTTTACGGCACACATTTTTTTATTATGCTTTTGGATGCTGCATATGATACTACGCATGCCTGTACTCACACATACTTGTGTCCTGCATTTTGATATTTCTTATACCATGGGGGTGATTGTTTTACTCATTGGACTCTGTTTGAATTGGCGAGTAATAGTTTTTTTTTCCCCTTAAATTTATGGAATATGGACTGATCAAGCATGAATTTGTTGAGATATTTTTTAGTTTTGTAGATATTACTTCCAATTAAAACAGTTTTTTGGTGGCCTTTCCTTATTTTAAAATATTATCGGCCTTTATTTTCATGATACAATTGAATTATTGCTTACAAGTCTCCTGTTGTATGACTTTGCATCGTGGCTGATTCGCATGTAGCTGGCACTGACATGCTGTACATGAGTGGTTGCATTCTTTAGAATTTCTGTAAGTTAAAACATTTTGCTCAATCATTTCTGATGCTGGAGCTCTCTTCATATGCTTTGAAACAGATGTTTTACAAGCAGGCTAAGAAAACCAATCAGTGTTGTACGATCTTGTAGATGCGCTTCAGAAGAGGATTGCTCGAATAAGTTAACAAGTGCTTAGCTCTTTATTGATAAAATGTGAAGTTTTACACAGGGTTGTTTATATAATGTTTTTATGTAAGTGTTGTGAGATTGTTATCTTTGGGCTTATCTTGTATCTTTGTTTCACTTTGAGAGTGTCATGAGGCAAATTTGCAGTGATTGTTCTAATACAAATTACAATATTATTCTGTGTTTTTCTAGAGCTACAATCAACTTTGCTATATTGAAGTTTGGTGGTTTATGATGAATGCCATATCTTGTTACCTTATGCTTTTGTCGGTAAGTTCGATCCTACCCCTATTGGTAGTGCCCCAGCAATTCTCTTTTTGCTATTTTCAATATTTTTTTTTTCTGCTGAATTTTAGATTGGCTATAAAATTGATCATGCTGAACATGCTTACGTAAAAAAACACAATAATTCATAATTTTAGTATATTTTTATAAAGGAGATAGTTTTGGGTGAGATGGGTTGCAAGACCACTTATTGAAAATGATTGCCCCTAATTCTTTTCACGAATTTCATAAAAAGATGAACCGCAAGTTATCCAACTCATTTAGTTGTCACTTAGCTCAGTCTTGATTTGTTTCCTACTTAAAGTGTATAAGGAATCGATTATGAAGATAAATGAAAATCATTGCAATCTATATCTATATATATATAATAAGAATTAACATTTAACAAAAATAGTAGCAAAAAAATAGGAGAAAATTTAATGCCACCTATAAATAGTAAGTTTTATTATTTTTTTTTATTTTTATCTTTAAAAAATCATACAACATTAAATGTTGCATTAAATTTTGGGCTTTAATTCATTTTATTATTTAAAAATTTCAGCTAAGATCTATTAAGTGTACATTTTTATTTTTTTCATAGAAATAATGAAGAACATTAAAATCTCAGTCTCTATATTTATAAATCTCACTTCAAAAGGTAATAAAAATTTTAGAATCAGGAAAGTATCTAGAAAAATATTTTGGGGGGGGGGGGGTGACTAGAATTGTAAATCGAACAAAATTGTCTGCGAACATAACTCGGCCTGACTAACAGGAGATACATGGACTACATGTTTTATTTATAAAATAGTTTAGAAATATTTTGGGTGACTTTACATCTTTCAATAATGATATATAAAATTTTAGATACTTCACATACGTTATATAATATTTTAGGTGTTTTTAATATTTTAAACATACATTTTTTATGTTATTTTATATAAGATAATTTTATATTGTTTACAACTGATATACGATAAATTATGTCACATATTAACTCTACAAATTAATTACAATTTTTAGTTAATATCGTTTAACTCATATTTAATTTATAATTATTAGTTAATATTGTTTACTATCATCGTTAATTTATAATTATTATTTAATATTATTTATCCGTGCATCGCACGGGCTACACACTAGTATATTGTGAAGCAAAAGCCTCTTTTTTATTAAGAACTAAAAAAGAATTTACTATATAAGTAATTTTTTAACGGAGGAAAAAACTTTTTAGCCTTTCATAGTGGAGGCACATTTGTACACAAATAAACTTGCCAAAAGAAAAGATTTTACAACTTCAACACTCACAACTTGACAAGAAGAGATTACACACAATTCACAGGTTTGTTACTAATTTTATGTGCAGAATGCTCGATACCTTTTTCTTTCTCCAAATTGTATTTTTGTAGAGGTTTGAGACTCCTTTAATGTTGCTCCACCGATGATAGGTTTGTGGGAGCTGCCTGTATCATATGTTGTAAGGTTCACTTGATTGAATTGTTGTCTAAATTTTTGTCATTTCCTTGTGTAAGAGAATCTTTTTGCCCCACCATTTTCAAGTGAATGTCTTGTTTTCTTCTTTAAAAATTGGTGAAATTCAATTTTTTTTTAATTCTCCTTTTATTCGAGTTTCTTGTGGTGCGAATTTATCTTTCTTTACTAAAAAGCCCCCGTCGAATGATGCTTTCTTTTGATATTCACAACTTGGACATAACCGTTCTTTCTATCGTGCAACATGTCATATTACAGCCTTACGTTGTGTGTTTTCAGTGGCTAGCAATCTATTTTCTATAAGAGTTTCCTTTTATTTTTGAGCATCTCGCTGGCGAGCTTAGAAGTGCTCCATGTCATGGTGTTGAGTAAGAATGTTCTATTTGAAGAGTTTTAGTAAATTTTAAATGGATATTTAACCTTATCAATTTCTGTAAGACACACCCATATTCCCCATAATCGCCTAGACGAGATTCTATCTTTAGACGTGGTTGAATACAATGGCGTTGTCTCCATTGTTTAAACCTGACTTAAAGCCTTTTTATTTGGCGGCTTGATTTAATAGAAAACAGGATGCCTTCCATTTTTACTTATTGTTTATGGAGATATAGATATGAATTTTAACTCTATAACTTCACCTCTTTTTAAATGTGGATTGTAATGCCATGATTCATGAACTGCATTAAATCCAATCTGATAATTATGATGTTTCTATATAACTTAGTGCACTGTGAATACAGATGCCAAGACTCCAAAGTTCATCCATTCTTGAACTCGAACGAATTTCACTTCTTCAATTGCCCAAACATATGGATATTTGCGTGAATCATTGACGATAATTTTGTCGTTCTGGACATCTCTTCTGGTTATTAGATCTCCCATATTTTGATTATAGTTATGCCAATGATATCTAGGATTGTTAGTATCAATCCCTTTTAGTTGTGGGCAGAGATTAATATTTCTTCATTTATCCCAAATGCATCAGGTTGACTTGAAAAATATGGAATTGGTTCCTTTTATTCAATGTCTTTATCTTTTTCCTTTTTCTTATTGTTTCTTGGGTAAAGTCCACTTTTGGTCTTCCATGTTTAGGGGTATCCAGACTGAGTCCCTATTATGTTTTGGTGCCCAATTTTAGTCCTTAAAACAAAAAAATGAGTCCCTATTATGTTTTGGTGCCCAATTTTAGTCCTTAAAACAAAAAAAATGAATCCCTATTATGTTTTGGTGCCCAATTTTAGTCTAAAAAAAAAAATGTAGTCCCTTTACCTCAATTTCTGTGAATTAACAGTCCATTTTTGCTCGACTGTGATGTCCTTTATTTTTTAAAATTTGTTGATTAAGGTCAACTTTGACCAAAGAAAAATAAAAGAAAAATTAAATGCTGAAAATATATTAATAAAAAATTAAACTAAAACAAGAAATTGCACTAAATTAAATTAAAATTTTTGCTCGTCTGATTTCTATTTCCCTAGCATTCGCGCTGCGGAGCAAGCCTGGAATCACAGCTAATGCTCTTGCACCCATTTCCGGGTCATGCCATCGAAAAAAATTGCACATATCAACCCTCTGTTTTTTAACCATTTCTTATCATATTCCAATTGAAGTTCACGGAAAGTACTTACAGGATATAGAGGGCAACTCAAGAATCTTCTCCCGAGATTATCATCCTTCCAGCATGTAGTCAACTTTGCAACCAGCTCACATCTACAAAATACCACACCATTTCCATCTATTTGATCGGATTTAGTCCCTAGGCGGTTAGGTTTTTTTTTTTTTTTACGTTTCACTGCAGTTCACTATTTCTGCCTTTTATTTTACTTTTTCAGCATTTAAATCTTTTTTATTTTTTTTTGGTCAAAGTTGACATTAGTCAACAAATTTTAAAAAAATAAAGAACATAACGGTCGAGCAAAAATGGACCGTTAATTCACATAAATTGAGGTAAAGGGACTACATTTTTTTTGTTTTAAGGACTAAAATTGAGCATCAAAACATAATAGGGATTAAGTCTGGATACCCCTAAACATGGAGGACTAAAAGTGGATTTTTCCCAATTATAGGGACTACATTTTTTTGTTTTAAGGACTAAAATTGGGCACCAAAACATAATAGGGACTCAATCTGGATATCCCCTAAATATGGAGGACTAAAAGTGGACCTTCCCCCTTGTTTCTTTTGCCAATAAAATATAGAAAAGTCATAAAAATTTATTGATGTGAAAAATAAAATTTTAATGATATTCTTTTGAATTTGAGAATAAGATTTTAGATTGAAAAATTACGGTTTAATATGATAGTTAATGGAAAATAAATTTAAAAATGACTTTTTTCGATTAGAGTTGGTCGTACAACTCATGTGAATATTTCATAAACATTGACGTCTAGCAAATATTTGGCACACAGAATTCATTTTTTATTTTGTACCAAAAAAACGTGCTGTTCATTTTTGGTTGGCTGCGCATCCATTTTTTTTTCTCTCTCTCTCTTTGATCAAGAACGTCGGCTTGTGAATAATGGCTAGTGGTGGCTACAAACAGAAATTTGCAAATTGCAATAATAAATATTTTAAGTAGCGAGCTATAGAGTGAAATTGGCACTAGCTTTATCCACAAANTAATTAAAAAAAAAAAAAAAATATCAAGCTGCTTGCCATGGCTGCTTATGCAGCTCTTGTTTCTCTCAGGCATACCATCGAACAGCTACAACACCATCCTCGACCTCCCATTTCTCTTCACAAATCACAAACCGAACTCATCATCGAAAATCTTACTTTCTTGCAAAATTTTCTCGAGAATCATTCCCCTTATGCAGATGCCCTGGAGAGGCGCATGGCCGATGCAGCTTATGCAGCCGAGGATTTAATCGAGACGCGTATCGTGGATCAAATTCAAGCCTCACGCTCCGAAAATATCCGTGTTTCGAAATCCAGTTTCAGTAATTTGTTTTGTGGATACACAAGCCATGTGGCGGCCGAAGTTAGTCTCATCTCCAACGATGACTTGTTGTATCAGGGCCTGCAAAAAGTGATACACGACCTCGATTTCATCACGAAAGAGGTGAAGGACATAAAAGAGAAGATGGAAAAAATCAAGCATGATGATTGTGATTTTTCGAGGCCGGGTGATTTTTCCCTAGAAAGATCTCCTACAATGGTGGGTTTTGATGATGTCATGATTGACGTCATGGACAAGCTGACCAATGGGCAATCGAGCCGCCAGATCATCATACCTATCGCCGGCATGGGAGGGATTGGTAAGACAACTCTTGCTAGAAACATTTACGATAATCCTGTAATCGAGCAATACTTTGAATATTTTCGCTGTTGGGCTACTATTTCTCAAGAATACAGCACAAAGAAAGTTCTTTTACAACTCCTCCTTTGTATAAAAACTCGATTGCGTCTACAAGGTTTGAGCCAAATGAGTGTAGAAGAATTAGGAGACACGTTGTATAAAAGTCTATTTGGTCGAAGGTATCTCATC